TTTTTTAGAGACAGAGTAGAGTGCTGTGGCATTACAGCTCATAGCAACCTCCAACTCCTGGGCTTAGGCAATTCTCCTTTCTCAGCCTCCCGAGTAGCTGGGACTATAGATACCTGCTATACACCTGGCTATTTTTTTGTTGCAGTTTGGCCAGGGCCGGGTTGGAACCCGCCACCCTTGGTATATGGGGCCGGCACTCTACCCACTGAGCCACAGGTGACACCCATATTTTTATACATGTTTTATTTCTGGTTACAATATGTGAGTAGGAGAGAGGCAGTGAACTTATAAAGGGGCGAAGGGAGCTGCAAAGTGATGAGGCTGCAGCTGCTGCTGCTAGTTCTAAGGGGCAAGTAAGAGGAGATTGTCCTGTTAGTGACAAAATCAGAAGCCAGCAGTGACCTCTCACCCCAGCTCTGCAACCCACACAGGGAGAGGGGGAGGCTTCCAGGGATGGTGCCATTGTTCCTAGACCTGCGGGAGCTGTGCTGATGATTCTGCCATGTATAGAAACAAAAGTACAATCTCCTTCCACATCTCTTCTGCTTGAAGAGCTTCCCTGTGTGCTGGGTGTGAGGTGCTGGTTGTGAAGCTGGGAGACCTGCAGCAGGTGACCCTGCAGAGGGGACCTGCTCGGCATGGGATGAGAACAGCCTGTGGTGCCTGGGCCCATCCTCGGCTTCCTTTTCAGGGACTGCCAAAAAGAGCAAGATCCTGTCCCAGGAGGAGCAGAAAGTGGTTGCGTTCCACGAATCAGGTCATGCCCTGGTAGGCTGGCTCCTGGAGCACACGGAGGCGGTGATGAAGGTAGGTCCTGGCAGAGCCAGCCTGGAGGATAGAAAAGCTGGGACCATGGGCAGAAGCCAGGAAGCAGGATGCAGGGCCAGAGTATGTGCCTCTTGTCTGAGCCTCCTGTCCTGAACCTCAGCTTCAGTTACACGTGTGATATTTGGGAGGTCACAGTGTCCTGGGAGTGAGGAGTTGCAGTGTGCTGTCCACTCCCAACTAACTCCTATTACTGAGGAGTGAGTTAAGAAGACTTTTGTTTTTTCAGACAGTCTCACAGAGTCACCCTGGGTAGAGTGCCCTTGGCGTCATCATTGCTCACAGCAACCTCAGACTCCTGGATTCAAGCAATCCTGCCTCTGCATCCTGAATACCTGGGAGGGACTATAGGCGCCCATCACTCCCCGCTAGTTTTTCTATTTTTAGTAGAGATAGGGTCTTGCTCTTGCTCAGGCTGGTCTTGAATTCTTGAGCGCAAGGGATCCTTGTGCCTTAGCCTCCCAGATGTTGGGTTGCAGGTGTGAGCTACCGCTCTTGGCCTGAGAAATGAATTTTTTTTTTTTTTTAATTTTTTTGTAGAGACAGAGTCTTACTTTATTGCCCTCGGTAGAAAGCCGTGGCATCACACTGCTCACAGCAACCTCCAACTCCTGGGCTTAGGCGATTCTCTTGCCTCAGCCTCCTGAGTAGCTGAGACTGCAGGTGCCCACCACAACGCCCAGCTATTTTTTTGTTGCAATTTGGCTGGGGCTGGGTTTGAACCCACCACCCTCGGCATATGGGGCCAGCGCCCTCCCGCTGAGCCACAGGTGCCTCCCAAGAAATGCATTTTTAAAACACTACCTTTGTCTACTAATATCAACCAAAAATTTATTCTTATTAAATGGTAATATCATCAATAGCTTCCAAAAAAGGTGTGGGGTCCATGACCCCAAGACCCTGCATGAGCCAGAGACACGAACATACGGGATGTGTGTGCAGCACACTGCAGCGGCCGGTCTGAGGCTGCCTTGTGTAGCCGCTGCTTCCTCCTCACTGTGGGGCACGCATGCACATGGCCTAGCAAGTGGCCAGCTTCGGATACCAGTGTCATTACTGGTTTTCAAGGGTGCCAGGCATAGCACAGGAGATTGTTAGTTTGGCGATGTTTGGGACTCCTGCTCATCAAGACTGCCCCTTTCTGTGTGTACAGGAGGGCTGGAGGCTGTGTCCTGAGACAAGGTGCTGCTTTCAATGGGTATGCTCAGCTGCCCCTGGTGCAGCTGGGGCCGAGCCCTGCAGAAGGGAGCAGATGCTGGCTTGGCCTTCACATTTATGGAACACCAAAAATCTCAACATTGAAGATAAATAACATTTTAACACAGCAACTCAAACATATGCAGAAAAATCCTTGAGCAAAATGCCAATTTTAAATTTATTTTTATTTTTATTTTTTTTTTTGAGACAGTCTCAAGCTGACGCCCTGGGTAGAGTGCCATGGCCATAGCTCACAGCAACCTCTAACTCTTGAGCTTAAGTGATTCTTTTGTCTCAGCCTCCTCAGTACCTGGAACTACAGGCACCTGCCACAATGCCTAGCTGGGTTTTTTCATTGTTGTTATTGGAGTTGTTTTAGCTGCCCTGGGCCGGGTTCGACCGGCCAGCCTGGGTATGTGTGGCTGGTGTCCTACCCACTGAGCTACGGGCGCCACTTAATTTTAAATTTCTTGTTGCTGGCGGCACCTGTTGCTCAGTGGATAGGGCGCCAGCTACATACACCCAGTCTGGCAGGTTCAATCCCAGCCCAGAACTGCTAAACAACAATGACAACTGCAACCAAAAAATAGCCGGGCACTGTGGTGGGTGCCTGTAGTCCCAGCTACTTGGGAGGCTGAGGCAAGAGAATCCCTTAAGCCCAAAAGTTAGAGGTTGCTATGAGCTGTGACACCACAGCACTTTACCGAGGGCGACATAGACTCTGTCAACAAAAAATCTTTTTTTTTTTTTTTTTCAACAAAAAATCTTAAGGCTCAACGTTCTGCTAGACAAAGATTGTGAAGTTACTGTTACTGATGCAGTGGTTATTGTGATCATCACTATGGCAGCTGTTATTTCTTGCCTTTTAGGGGTAATTTAATTAGTTTGAGATTTAAAATTAAATTTCCTCTTGGGATTTTTTATTTATTTATTTATCTTTTGCAGTTTTTGGCCAGGGCCGAGTTTGAACCTGCCACCTCTGATATATGGGGCCAGCACCCTACTTCTTGAGCCACGGGCGCCACCCCACTCTTGGGATTCTTAAGGCACTTTGATATGGCTACCTTGCTGCTGTAATTCTCAGAAACAGTAGGGGCTAGCAGAGAACCCACTAGAGTCCTCCTCTGTCCCTCGTATGGTGGGCGTCTGGGGCTTTCCCGCTCCTGTGTGAGCCTACAGTGGCGGCAGCACCTGAGCTCAGCAGCTGGGGGGGTTCATCCTCTCACCTCCCATTTGTCTGTTACTAAGAGGCCTCATTTCCTTGACTTTTAGAGAGGCCTAGAGTTTTAACAGTGGGCACAGGTGCCTCTGCCTAGAAACCCTCTGTGTCCCTGTGAGCTGGTCAGCCTTAGAGTTATGAAAGTGATATGGTACAGATTTGCTTCCTGCTGTGAGACCCTCTGACAGGCTTCTCTTGCACTGCCCCCACCTCTTCCTCCTTCAAGCCCACATCCTGCTTTGCTGACTGTGCTGTCCCAACACTCTGCAGGTCTCCATAGCACCGCGGACTAATGCTGCTCTGGGCTTTGCTCAGATGCTCCCCAGGGACCAGCATCTCTTCACCAGGGAACAATTGTTTGAGCGGATGTGCATGGCGCTGGGTGGCCGAGCCTCGGAGGCCATCGCCTTTAGCAGGGTCACCTCTGGTGAGGACCAGCACACCAGGAGCCGGGATGGAAACTGAGAGGTGTTCTCACATCATTAGGCCTCTGTCCCATTGCAGGGGGGGGACTGATGGAAGAATTGAATGTGATGCAAGGGGTTTGGAATTTTCTTTTTTTGTTGCTGTTTTTGTTCTTTGACTTTTTGGAGACAGAGTCTCACTCTGTCTCCCTGGATAGAGTTCCATGGTGTCATAACTGGCAGCTCAAATTCCTGGGCTTAAGGCATCCTCACACCTCAGCCTCCCAAGTAGCTGGGACTACAGGTGCCACTATGACACCTGACTAGTTTTTCTGTTTTTAGTAGAGACACAGTCTCGCCGTTGATCAGGCTGGTCTCAAATTCTGAGCTCATGAGACCCTCCTCAGCCTTCCAGAATGCTGGGATTACAGGTGTGAGCCACTGCATATGGTCTTATTTGGTGTTTTTTAAAAGATGATCTGTGTTTAAAGTGGATTTGGAACTAAGCAAAGCTTAAAATAATTTCATTGGCAAAATGTTTATGGTTATGCAGACTATAAATGAATTTAATTGGTAAATTATTTCCAACTTTATTGGAATAAAGTTGAAAGAGTCAAGCTACTACTTCACTGGGATGTGCAGCAAGGTGAGAGAGCATCCCTCTTCCCTCCTTGCAAAACCCAGGCTTGTGCTTAAGCACAGCTGTGCAGTGAGCGCAGATGTTAATATTTAAATAAGAGGGCTCGGCGCCTGTGGCTCAAGTGGCTAAGACGACAGCCACATACACCTAAGGTGGCGGGTTTGAATCCAGCCCAGGCCCGCCAAAACAATGACGGCTGCAACCAAAAAATAGCTGGGTGGGCACCTGTGGTCCCAGCTACTTGGGAGGCTGAGGCAGGAGACTCACTTAAGCCCAGGAGTTGGAGGTTGCTCTGAGCTGTGATGCCACAGCACTCTACCCAGGGGGATAGCTTGAGGCTCTGTCTCAAAAAAGTAAATAAATAAAAAATATTTAAATAAGAGAATATTTCTTTCTTTCTTTCTTTCTTTTTTTTTTTTTTTTTTTGAGACAGAGTAGCTCACTTTCTTTCCCCTAGTAGAGTGCTGTGGCTTCTTAGCTCACAGCAACCTCAGACTCTTAGGCTCAAGCGATTCTCTTGCCTTAGCCTCCCAAGTAGCTGGGAATACAGCCGCCCACCACAACGCCTGGCTATTTTTTCCCCCATTGCAGTTGTCATTGTTTTAGCTGGTGCAGGCCGGGTTCAAACCCACTGGCCTCCGTGTATGTGGCTGGTGCCCTATCTCCTGAGCTATGGGCACTACCTATTATTATTATTATTTTTTTTTTTTTTGAGAGACGGGTATCACTTTTGCTCAGGCCAGTCTAGAATTTGTAAACTCAGGCGATCTGCCCACCTTGGCCTCCTAAAGTGCTGGGATTACAGGCGTGAGCCACCACGCCTAGCCCTTATGAGAGCATTTTTTTATTTTATTTTTTTTGAGACAGAGCCTCAAGCTATTGTCCTGGGTAGAGTGCCATAGCATCACAGCTCACAGCAACCTCCAACTCCTGGGCTCAAGGGATTCGCCTGTGTCCACCTCCCAAGTAGCTAGGACCACAAGCACCCACCACAACACCCAGCTATTTTTTGGTTGCAGCTGTCATTGTTTGGTGGGCCCAGGCTGTATTCGAACCCGCCACCTCAGGTATACATGGCTGATTCCTTAGCTGCCTGAGCCACAGGTGCTGAGACAAGAGAGCATTTCTTAAAGTGTTAAAGAAGAGTAACAAGGCACAGGTGTCCTGGTTGTCTGGCATTGTGGGACTCCCAGAGATAAAATGCATGACGGGCATCTGGGCTGCAGCACTGAGTGTACTCATCTTGATGCCACACCCCAGGGGCCCAGGATGACCTGCGGAAAGTCACTCGCATAGCCTACTCCATGGTGAAGCAGTTTGGGATGGCACCTGGCATCGGGCCCATCGCCTTCCCTGAAGCACAGGAGGGCTTTGCAGTTGTGGGTCGACGCCCCTTTAGCCAGGGCCTCCAGCAGATGATGGATCACGTGAGTCCACCCTGCCCAGGGGGGAAAGGGTGCCTGGGTCAGCCTGTGAGGAGTTCTCTGCTTCCTCAGAGGAGGCTCACCAGATTACTCTGTGAGAGTCCAGCTGCAGGCCCCATGTGGGCTTTTCCTCTTGGGCTGTTGCAGCTCTGTCCTATTCAGGGGTGTTCTGGATGAGAGCCTGCATTCTCTTGATGAGATTGGAGATGGGAATCTGGGAAGAAAATCAGACAGATGACTACATGATAGAGCCAGTGCCCAAGTGGCCGTGCACACAGAACCAGCTTGGTGTTGGTGGTGTGCTCAGGGGACTGCTGGGGTGTGGCAGAAGCAGGCAGGGCCCCTCCTGGAGAGGCCTGCAGGGTGTGAACAGCCATTGAGCAGGGGTCTTGGGCCGTCATCCTGTTCATCATGAGAGGGAAAGGCCAGTCCCTGCTGCTGGAGATGAGCAGCCAGTGAGTGGTGGCCCTTGACTAGCTGCTGACAAGACTGCCTGCCCTCTGCAGGAAGCAAAGCTGCTGGTAGCCAGGGCCTACAGACACACGGAGAAGGTGCTGCTGGACAACTGGGACAAGCTGCAGGCGGTGAGGCTCTGGTGGGGCATCGGGCCATGGGGTGCTAACCTGCCCACCCTGGCATGAAGTGTTTGCAGCGTACAGGGAGTAGAGGAAGTAGAGGCCATGCAAATTCCCCATAGAATCTTACATTTTCCATACTTTTTACTATAAAGACATCAAGCCAGTTTCCTCAAAGTAGCAAGAACAACATCCCACATTACCTGCACTCACATTAGCAATTACTGAGGCTTTTTTTTTTTTTTGTGACAGAACCTCAAGCTGTCCCACTGGGTAGAGAGCTGTGGCATCACAGCTCACAGCAACCTCCAACTCCTGGGCTCAAGCGAGTCTCCTGCCTCCACCTCCCAAGTAGCTGGGCTCATAGACGCCCACCACAACGCCTGGCTATTTTTTTTGGTTGCATTGTTGTTTGGCAGGCCTGGGCTGGATTCGAACCCATCACCTTAGAGTGTATGTGGCTAGCACCTTAGCCACTTGAGCCACAGGTGCCGAGCCTACTGAGGCTTTTTTAATCTTCTTCAAACTCTTAAACTTTTTTTCTGAAAAAAAAAAAAAATATATATATTTTTTTTTTTGAGACAGAGTCTCACTTTGTCACCCTTGGTGAAATGCTGTGGCGTCACAGGTCACAGCAACCTCAGACTCTTGGGCTCAAGTGATTCTCTTGCCTCAGCCTCCTGAGTAGCTGGCACTACAGGTGCCCACCACAATGCCCTGCTATTTTTTGGAGACAGGGTCTCACTCTTGCTCAGGCTGGTCTCAAACTCCTGAGCTCAAGGGATCTACCTGCTTCAGCTTCCCAGAGTGTTAGAATTACAGGCGTGGGCCACTGTGCCCAGCCCGAAATTTTTTTTTTTTTTTTTTTTTGTAGAGACAGAGTCTCATTTCATCGTCCTCAGTAGAGTGCCGAGGCGTCACACAGCTCACAGCAACTTCCATCTCCTGAACTTAGGCGATTCTCTTGCCTCAGTCTCCCAAGTAGCTAGGACCACAAGTGCCCACCACAGTGCCCAGCTATTTTTTTGTTGGAGTTCAGCCAAGGCTGGGTTTGAACCCCTTACTCTTGGTATATGGGGCCAGCGCCCAACCTACTGGGCCATAGGCGCCCCCTCAGCCTGAAAATTTTTTGCTAGATAAAATCAATTATTTATTTATTTTAATTAAATTAGAATAAAAATAAATTTAAATCATAAATAAGATTTATGCTTTCTTTTTTTTTGTTACAGTCTCTTTATATCACTCTCAGTAGAGTGCCAGAGCGTCACTGCTCACAGCACCTCAAACTCTTGGGCTTAAGCAATTCTCTTGCCTCAGCTCCCAAGTAGCTGGGACTACAGGTGCCTGCCACAATGCCTGACTATTTTTAGAGACAAAGTCTCCCTCAGGCTGGTCTTGAACCTGTGAGCTCAGGCAATCCACCCCCTAGGCCTCCCAGAGTGCTAGGTTTACAAGTATGAGCCCCCACGCTGGGCCTTGGCAATGTTTTCTTTTTGGGTAGTTTTAGATTGACAGAAGATTACAGACAGCCCTGTTGCCCTCTCCGACTCCCATGCCACTGTGCTGAGCACCACACACACAATCTCATGAATTGGAGCCCACACACAGTCTGGCTGCCTGCTTCTCTCCTGAGGGCCTTTCTCTGTATTGTTCAGGCCTCCTTGGGCTCCTCTTGGCTGTGCCAGGATCTCAGACATTCCTGGTCTTCAGTGACTTTAGTAGTTTTGAAGATTCTTTTGGTATTTTGTAGAATGCTCCTCAGTTGAGCTCATCAGGTGTTTTTCTCACAGTGAGGCTGTGTGGGGTCACTTTTGTACCCTTTGGTTCTGATACCTACTGCCCAGAACTCAGTAGTGGTGGGCCCTGCGTGTGTGGACAGATGGGCACCACATGTGTGCTGCCCTTCCTGAAGGGGGCACTGCTCCCCCAGGCTGCACCAGCTTCTGTGTATAGACCAGGCCTCCCTGTTACTGACCAGCTGCTCTGCACAGCTGGGTCTCTCTCCTGTGGGAGCAGGGACATGTGGGGACAGGGCTGTAGGCCAACCACCCACTGAACGGTGAGTGTGGTGCTTGAACTGTGAGCGCTCACACAGTCAGTTTGTGGTATATTAGAGCATCCCTTCACAAAATATTTGTCTTGCATTACAGCCACAGAAAAATTGCCCCAGTTTTGGAGCAGCACCTGTGGTTCCGTGGGAAAGGCACTGGCCACATATACCAAGGGTGGTGGGTTCGAACCTGGCCCCCGCCAAACTGCAAAGAAAATATCTGGGCATTGCAGCGGATGCCTGTAGTTCCAGCGACTCAGGAGGCTGAGGCAAGAGAATTACCTAAGCCCAGGAGTTGGAGGTTGCTGTGAGCTGCGATGCTAAAGCACTCTATTGAGAGTAACAAAATGGGCTCGGCGCCTATAGCTCAACTGGCTAAGGCGCCAGCCACGTACACCTAAGGTGGCCGGTTCGAATCCAGCCCGGACCCACCAAACAACGATGGCTGCAACCAAAAAATAGCCGGGCGTTGTGGCGGGCGCCTGTGGTCCCAGCTGCTTGGGAGGCGGAGGCAGGAGACTCGCTTGAGCCCAGGAGTTGGAGGTTGCTGTGAGCTGTAATGCCACGGCACTCTGCCCAGGGGGACAGCTTGAGGCACTGTCTCAAAAAAAAAAAAAAAAAAATATTTAAGAACACATAAGGTGTGGCTGTAGCAGTGTTCTCTGTCGGCAGGGTGGAGCTGCGGCAATTGCCACATGCAGGGTGATGTGCAAGTGAAGTGTTTGCCAGGACCACAATCCCCACCCCAAACTGCATGGTCCTCCAGCTCACACACCCTCTCCCCAGATTCTGGCCAGGAGGGTTCTGCATTGTACTCCCTCACTCCATAGATAGACAAACTGTTTTATGATGGTAATTGCAGTTTTCAAAACTAAGCAGAGGCTTCAAAAGGAAGTAGAAGAATTGAGGCTAGCAGCTGGCAAGTAATTTCCATGATTGAGATAAAGGGTGGGGACCTGGGGACTGGTCTGTGTCAGAGCTGCCACCTCCCTGGGGATTCTCACACTGACCTGTTCTTTCTAGCTGGCAAGTGCCCTTCTGGAAAAGGAGGTGATAAACTACGAGGACATTGAAGCACTCATTGGCCCGCCACCGCATGGCCCTAAGAAGATGATTGCCCCACAGAGGTGGATCGATGCCCAGAGAGAGAAGCAGGACCCTGGGGAGGAAGCAGAGGCTCCACTGCCCCCACAAGGGGAAGAGCCATCTTGGCCCAAGTAGTGTGGACGACTTGGGGCATGAACTCATTTAGCTACCTGAGTTTCTTCTCAACTGAGATTCATCACCTCTTCCAGCTCCATGATCTCTCTGTACATGATTAGTAAATTTCTTTGCAAAAATGACTGAACTTTGCATTTATATATTGCTTCCCAGGGGGAAGGTTTTCACTGTTGTTCCAAGTGTGCATAGAGCACTTCTCTTGTTCCCAGTGTGAGGCTGGCCCTGAGGCAGCACTTGGAGTCTGAGCAGACCCCTGTTTATGCCCAGGCTTGAACATAGCCTCAGGGCCTGCAGCCCCTCAGAATGCTGGAAGCGTCCAAATGAAAGGAACCTCTGGGCAGTTGCCATCCTATGCCCTAGCTCTGCCATCATGTTCCCTCATCAGTGAGGGCACATAGTTCCTTGTAGGCCCTGGAGGATTTCAACACTGCCATATACCATCCTATGGACAGGCTCCAGTTGAGAGCCTCTCCTAATTGTCCAGTTGAGTGGGTTGGGGATGCCAGAGATTTTACTGCCCTGAGTGGTGGTGTGGCACTTTACTAATAAATTCTGTGAGTAGAGACTCCACGTTTGTGCTGTCTGACGAGGTCTAACCCAGACCTGAGAGGCTTGTCCTAGATGACAAGATCTTTTGTCTTCCCTTTATGGGTGATGCAGGAATCTGGGCCCTGGACCTTGTAGGGATAAAGGACACAGGACGCCCAGTGAGAGGATCCCTGAGAAGGGTGAGGTCTAGAACAGGTCTTCCACAAGGATACACCTGCAGGGTCCTCTCCATGGTGACTCAGTTCTTGGGAATTTATAGACTTAACTTTCTAGAAGTTGGAAATTTCCACTTCTGTGAAATCCTGTAGTTCTGTGGGAGCTAGAATAGCATCTCCTGCTTGATTCAAACTGACCAATGAAAAAGGTAACTATGGGTTGAAACCTTTTTTTTTTTAGACAGAGCCTCAAGCTGTCCCCCTGGGTTAGAGTGCTGTGGCATCACAGCTCACAGCAACCTCCAACTCCTGGGCTCAAGCGAGTCTCCTGCCTTTACCTCCCAAGTAGCTGGGACCACAGGCACCCGCTTCAACACTCCGGCATTTTTTTTTTTTTTTTAGACGGAGCCTCAAGCTGTCCCCCTGGGTAGAGTGCTCTGGCATCACAGCTCACAGCAACCCCCAACTCCTGGGCTCAAGCGAGTCTCCTGCCTCAGCCTCCCAAGTAGCTGGGACTACAGGCACCTACCACAATGCCAGGCTATTTTTTTGGTTGCAGCCGTCATTGTTGTTTGGCAGGCCCGGGCTGGGAATTCGAACCCGCCACCTTAGGTGTATGTGGTTGGCGCCTTAGCTGCTTGAGCCACAGGCGCCGAGCCAGCCCCAGAAGATTGTTAAAGAATTTTTTTTTTTTTGGGCAACAGAGTCTCACAATATTGCCATCAGTAGAATGCCATAGCAGCACAGCTCACAGCAACCTCCAACTCTTGGGCTTAGGCAGTTTCTATTTTTAGTAGAGACAGGGTCTCACTGTGACGAAGGCTGGTCTCAAACTCCTAAGATCAAGCAATCCACCTGCCTCAGCCTCCTGGAGTGCTGGGATTAGAGGCATGAGCCTTTGTGCCTGGCTGTCATGAAATTCTTAAACTTGTGTATTCTTAAAATTGTGTGTATTCTTGAAACTTGTGTATTAAGTTTTACCAGGAGGGGCCGGGTGCAGTGTCTCACACCTGTAATCCTAGCACTCTGGGAGGGTGAGGCAGGAGGATCCTTTGAAATCAGGAGTTGGAGACCAACATAAGCAACAGCTAGAACCCATCTCTATTAAAAAAAAAAAACAGCCCAGCATTGTGGTCCATACAACTCCAGCTACTTGGTTGGCTGAGGCAAGAGGATCGCTTTAGCCCAGGAGTTTGAGGTTGAGTTAGGCTGATGCCACAGCACTCTAACCAGGGTATGGAATGAGGCTGTCTTAAAAAAAGTATTTTTAATTTTTTTTTTTAAGAGAGTCTTACTTTGTCACCCTCAGTAGAGTGCTATGGCATCACAGCTCACAGCAACCTCCAGCTTGGGCTTAGGGGATTCTCTTGCCTCAGCCTCCCAAGTAGCTGGGACTACAGGTTCCCACCACGATGCCTGGCTATTTTTTTGTTGCAGTTTGGCCAGGGCTGGGTTTGAACCCGCCACCCTCAGTATAGGGGGCCAGCGCCCTACTCACTGAGCCACAGGCGCTGCCCTCAGTGTTGAGGGCAGGGATGAAAGATGGTTATTGTGATATAAACATTTACAGATAGCACTAAGAAACTAAGAGGTGATGGGAACACAGGACATGGATGTATGCCTGGCTACTTAATTTTTTTTTTTTTTTTTTTT